CATATCGATCGGTAGGTTACGTCAAGCACGAAAAGGGAGAAATACCAAAACAGTGCCTCGATCTTGAAATAGTTTTGGTTTTTTCTGGTTTAGGAGACGTACAAACATACAATATAGTAATGCTACGATGTTATGATGTGTTTGCTCTTCAAGGATTATAACTGTATAAGAGTGGAGTCGCCCTTTGAAAGAACCCACCGCAGGCGACTTTGAAAGTTTGCTAAAAGCATATTCCAGCACTAAACTTGTGGGGAGTAAGGAAAAAGGAAAAGAATCTGTCGAAAACGCTTGGTTGAAGCTTGCTCACCTTCATATGCGGCTGTGCTAAGGCAATGAGAGACTGAGCGCGAAGAGGAGAGTATGAAGCGAGAGAGCGCAACAGGTGAGGGAATGCCTGACTGCAGCCTGCTGAGGACGAGGTACAGCAGCTACAGCTAATGTTGCTAGGACTTAGCGGTCATGGCAGGCAATTTTTATGATCAGGAATATTACAACTGTGGTTGCCATCTTATGGTTTCTTCTGGAGACTGAAGAGTATCGTTCGCACGACCTCTGTTGGGGTTGTGCCTTTAAGTGTTCCTACACGTACACTCGTCACTCCGTTCTAGAACTATCCACACAGCAATTATTTAGTTAACGATGTGTCCTTTGTGTCTGCCGGTACTCGAAATAGCCATCATGGAACGTAAACAAAGGTAACAAACGATTTCCCGGAACATTACTATGTCACCTTCACTTCGTTATTTCCATATAACTACGGGTAGTGAAGAATGCAAACGTGGACAGAACAGTGGCAACGTGTTCAATTTGAAAGCAAAGCAGTAAAGTCGGCTTTTTTCTGAGGTCGTTCGACCCACCTTGGGTAGATTATTCATAAAAAGTTGGCGACTCTCAGGCTAACAGTTCTTTCAGCTTCGTTGTGTAGCACTATCCTCGTACCAGCTAAGGACAACCTTGTCTGAGCTCTAGCACTCTTCTTCAAAAGAAATTTTACGCTAAGTGATACGACCTCAAACCCGACTTCCAGTCCTTCTTCGTTCAAGACCTCCCGCAGTTTCAGAGGAAAGACAGCGATTAAATTCCCATGAATAGGCAATACATTATAGATGACAGAGGTGTATGTTTGGATGAGCAAGGACTTTAAATAAAAAAGAAAAAAATTTGAATTCAAAAATACCCAAAGTGATTCACTAATTATGGGACAACCTAGTTTACATAGCGCCGCATGCGACATACCACCACAGTAAACGCGCCAACATGTACACTTACCTAAGATCGGAACACTAGAGTTTATGTGAGTGCACATCGGGTGAGGCGCGCATCGAGGTAGGGCCAGTGCGACACCTCGGTTGCGCATTCATTATCCTTCGAGGAAAAAGGGGTATTTTATTGAAACAAATCATGTCAAAACTCTATTTCATAAAAGTTTTTTATTAGAAAAACGTTCTATGCGTCCTTCTCGGATCATCCTCAGGAAATTCTCAAGAATTTGAAAGAGTTCATTCCGGGGATGAGCAAAGAATACATTCTCTTTTTTGCGAATTGAGGGGTTCTCGATGTTGGCATATTCTGAAAACGTCACCGTTATGGCAATATGCTATTAGCGCGCCAACCCCGTGATTCGTAAAAGGGTCACGTAAGGGCACGCAGATTATTTCTGTTCAAGAATTCGCTATTGATGTCGGTGATGATTCCAAATTTCCGGTAATTGCGTCGATGAAGCACCTGGCTGCAATTTGAGTGGCGGAGTTATTTGCCAGAGTAAGAACTTGGAGTCTTTCGCACGGGTAGGTGAAGTCCTTCTTTACAAATAATTTTTGAATATTCAATTACTAGTTAAGCAAAGTACGACTGAGTACGACTGCATGTTGTACTCAGTCGTACTTTGCTTAACTAGTAATTGCAAGTTACGACTAATGGAACAAGCATTTCAAAACATAATATTAAAACATAATATCAAAATTGGAATGCACGGATATTTTCAGCAATACTGCAAAAAGACATGCGGTTACTGCTCGGACTCAACTGTTGCACCAGGTAAGCGCTGTTGCTTGATTGATGTTCATTTTGATTCGCAACTTGACAGCTTGTGAGGCTCTGAATCCCTATTAAATTCTATTAAAAATAGCTGCCCTTCATTTTTGTGAAAAATAATTACGTTTCAGTAATGATCCAACGTGCTAATTTACTTTAGATTTCCACTTGAAACCTTTCGTTTGAGTTTCCTTTCCTCTTTAGCCCTCCGGCGAAAATGGCACCAGCCGGTGGGTGCCACTATGACCGGTCGCTTGGGGCAATGGCACCCAATAGTAGGTGCCATCCTAAAATTTTCTTCTTTACACATTCAAAATTTTATATCATATATATCAGTAACAACCAGTGGCGCCGCACGCATTGCGCGCGCAACACAGATCTGCGGCGAATTTTGATGGTGCGACGAAAATTTTCAAATTTGGCTTGATACACCACGAATATCTGAATTCTCAGCTAAATTCTATCCGCTCCATCATCGACGGCTTTCAACCTCTTTTTCTTCGTCAACCATTATCCTCTTTTTCCCGGTCTCCGGACTGCTTCCGGACAATAAATCTCGTGGCAAACTCCGCCTACTTCGGTGCGTGCCCCGCCCCACCAATCGCAATAACTAATTTTTTTTTTCTGGCTCTCTTGCTTCGCGACCTTCTCCTTTTTTCACCGGCCTTTGTACAAGAATTATAAGCTCAGGAGGTTAGGGTTGAATACCGTATATTTAACGCTGCGCGTCAAGTAGCGTGTCTAGTTGGTGCGGCTGCACACTTCACAACCTAACACACAGCAAACACATAGAATCACTGGGTTCGTCCCCATTTCCTTGAATCTACTTCTTTTTAAGGTTTCTTCTGAGATATGAGAAGTACGCTTCCTCTACTTCATTGCCTTCTCATACAGCTTCAGTTCAGTGCAACGTGCATGTGGATGTGTATGAGATTCATAGTGATCTTGGTTTGCCTATACCAAAATAATAACTGAAGAATTGCTGTCAGCGTAGTTTTCAGATCTTCCATGACTCTTTCATGGATGCTGCATGAAGATCATGGTGTATTGAAACTTTGGTACAATAACTATTACAACCCCAAAGTCTCAAAATGTTACTACCCGTAGAGGTAGTAGTTCGCCGCCATCATCACGAAAATGACATCACTGTTGATGCTAGCGCCATTTGGCGCTTATTTTATGCTTCCCTGAGCTCTCTCAGGTTTACTGCCTATGACTGTTTAAGGGGAAGAGGATTTCGGGGTGACAAACTATGCACTGTGCGGCTCCATAAGATAATCCTGACCACGACCTAATTAGTGAGAGGGCACAGGCGAGCAAAAAATAGACCAGAAGTGGCGTTGGTACCAAAAATGAATGTTACACACGTAATCAGGGCACCAAATAACCCTTGCATACGAGTTCATAGCTAATTTGGTGAAAGCAGCCGTTGTGACAAAGTGGCGTCAGCGCCAAAAATAAATGTCATTTCCGAAATCAAGACATCGAATTACCTGGGCAAAGTTTCAACGAAAAGTAAAATTTTGAGACTTCGTTATTGTAATAGTTTACTAGAACCGGAACTTGTAATGACTTAGAATTCGAATAGGCGATGTTTTATTTAGTTTCTGAGTGTGAAGTATATACAGTAGCGGTCAAAAGTGTTCGCCGAAATTTTCGGTGCATTATTTTTCTCGCTTGAGCAACGCCCTCCAAAGATTGATATACTATGTTTTCTAGTGTTTTTATATCCTCAAGTCTTAAAGAATCAGGATATTCAAAAAAAAATTTTCGAGGTCACCATTGATTTTTTTGCAAAAAAAAGAAGCACGAAAAATCGTTTCGGCGAACAATTTTGACCGCTACTGTATACTTGGTGTACTGAAACTATTGATAAAGTATTGTACGTAAAGTTTTGAATCAACTTGAACACTGAAAACCCACGCAACACCAATATTGGAACTGTAGTAGAAATCTAAACACATTTTCACTGTGATAAGTCAAACATTTACAAAATTTCGGAAAAACTTCAAATTCCATCGGGACGAATCCTCCAATTCTAACCGAAACTTCAAATCGAAGTCAGATTAAGGAAATGAGGACGAACCGAGTGATTGTATGTGTTTGCCGTGTGTTAGGTTGTGAAGTGTGCGGCCGCACCAACTAGACACGCTACTTGACGCGCAGCATTAAATATACGGTATTCAACCCTAACCTCCTGAGCTTAATCTTGTCTTGGGACCTCTTGGAACCAAATTACGACACTTTTGGCAAACTCCGCCCACTTAGGTGCGTGCTCCGCCCACTAATAGCAGTTGACCTCCTTTCCTTCGCCAACCTCTACTCCCTTTTTCCCGGCCTCCGGGACTTCTTGGAGCCGAGTTATGAATTTTCGTCGCAAACTCCGCCCACTTTGGTCAAGCCCCGCCCACCATGACAGCTGGCCTCCACTCCTCCATACACCTCTATCCACCTTTTTCCGGCTCTTTAAGACTTCCCCGACCCGAATTATGAGGACTTGTAGAAAATGCTGTACACTTCAGAGCGCGCCCCGCCCATTCTGGGCGGGCCTCCGCCCACGTCATGTATGCAGGAAACACCTTAGACATTGCTCCCTTACACCAAATTGTTTTCTGCTCTGTAGGCTTTCTCCCAACCGAGTTATGAAATTTTTCATAAAGCACTGCTTTTTTGGAGAACGCCCCGCCCACCGGGGGTGGGTCTCCCTAATTCGATGTGACTTACCAATGCACACCTTTACCCACTTTTTGGCCAGTTTCGAGGTTGTTTTGTCACTGAAATCGAAATCTTGGTCTTCGGTACAGTTCATTTCGACGCACGCCACGCCCTCTGTGGGCGGGGCTCCGCTTAGCTGATGTGTGTTTTGTATTTCGTGAGACCTTGCCCACCCATTCCACACTTGACCCGGTCCCTCCAGGCGGATCCCGAGGAGCTAGGGAATTTCGTGACAGACATACAGAACGACAGACAGACGACAGACGACAGACGAAGCGCTTTATAGTAAGTAGGATTATAAGCAAGCTCCATTACGCATGTTCAGCATATTTTGCAGAAATGTTTGTTACTAGCTAATTTATATGAAATTTTAGGATATGGCACTTCGCTCGGCGATGTATTAACTAGTGTTTTACATTATTAAGCTTAAGGTGAATTACAGATCAGGACCTCTACGTCTTTTCACAGTCTTAAGACACAAGGAGGAGTTTGAACTATATCAAAAATTCTACTGTACATTTGAACTTCTAGAGTTTTCAAACACCATCCCTTTGAAATCCGAGATTTCTTTCCAAACTTCCACTTCTAATTCCAACAATACATGATCATAAAGCTTAAGACTGCAGTCATATTTTGTTTATTGTCATAGTCAAAATTTTGATAGAAAAACTGCTTTTAGGGACAATTTTGCCCCATTTTGTGCGAGAGTTGGGCGCGCCAAAAAGGCGTGGTCCCACGAGCACGCTACGTGCAAATCCGCATTGTCGTCAAAGGGTTAAAATTCTGTGAAATGGGATTCCTTATACGACTCTGGGCATTAACATCCTGAAATTTTTGCATATCAGAAGGGTCTAGCATGCTTTTCAAGTTCGTTCAAAGCATATACTCTAGTTACAGATAGAGTATGCTAGAGAACGTTAAAAAAGCTCTGTTTCTACTTTTCAAAACTTTTTATTCAGGAACTGTAGGAACTGGATGTGGATCTAACCCAAAGTAAGTTTTTTTTGTTATTTTATCTATTATTCTTTCATTCGTTTATTTTTGAGGAACACCCGTTGTGTAATGGAAAATTTTGTAACAATATGGTTTGGTTTCGTCGCCATTATAACAAATAATTTAAAGAAAGGTTGTGTTCTCCGACGTGAGCTCAAAACTCAGCAGTTGAGGATTCGACAACCTTTATCCAGTTTCCGCTACTTGATAACGCATAGCTAACCAATAACTCCTAAGGTGACATGAAGAGATTTCATGCCAGTTAGGAATTAATGCTTAAGTTATAAGAGGTATGTGGATGTGGAAAGAAGGACGAATCAGAGAAGCTCCACAGTTATGGAGAACTGCTTGCTTGTTTCTACAATGTTATATCACCCATAATTTATGACAGGACAAATGTGCATTTAAAGTGGTGGATCTGGCAAACAAAGACACTGGTCAGAACATATCGCTGGGTCCACCATGCTCAACACTTGTGCCTCAGAGCGGATAACAGTGTATGCCCGTCAATTAGGCCTTGTCAAAATCACTCCAGCTCATTTACCGCATAGGAGTTAATGTCAGCCAGCTGAGCTCTCCCCTAGCCGAGCATGCAACAAACAGCTTTCGGCAGATCCCACAAAGATTCCACTGACGTTTCCTCTCATTGTTGCACCTACTGCTTTTATGGTATGATATGATATTTTTCATGATATGTATTTTCAGTTGCGCTAGTTGGATACGGAACGGATTTTGCAACAGCACATTCTACTCGCAAGCATACAAAATGCAGTACTGCGGACGCGCCTGCGGATTATGCTGAAATGGCTCAAACTTAGAGCCATAGATGACAAGGGCTTATAGTTGCCGTGTCAAATTTTCTAGTAACAATAAAAATCAGTTTGGAATATGATCGTTAATGCTCAAATTGCTGACCATTCTTCACCATTCTTTCTTCTTTTTCCTTTTCTTCTGTGTCCCTGGAATATCGGAAATCACTCGAAGCTACTGTGCAAATACACTGTAACCAAAACTTT